GGCGATAAATTATTATTCCCCGATTCGCTAACTAAGGGAGGATTATAATGTGTTGGATTAAAATTGAAATTTATAGGCAAAGTGACCTTGGATTCTTCGAAAAAATCCCAAACACAATGACCTGCACGAGCAAAGTAGGGTTTAACATGTGGACCAAGTTTCTCTCTCTCCACATGTGGACGAAATTACTGTTTCTCTCTCTCTCTCTCTCTCGATGAAACTGGGGGAAGTCATTTTCCACCCGTACCCCTTTGTTTTTAGACTGTCATCTCTTTGGTTTTTGTACGTCGGAATTCCACATCTTCTATTTCTCTCACTCTGTTTTTTTATTTTGAAAACTTCTCCCTCTTTGTGGTCCTTTTCCTTCAACTCGCATTCCTCTTTCACATGTACACACATACCACGTGCTCTCTCTCTCTCTCTTCAGAATGGTGGATGGATGAAGCAGAAGAGGTCCCCCCGTCCTTGCACCAGGCTTGAAGCAATCAAGCTTTGGAGCTATCGTGCCCACATATATCTTTATATTTGAATACTTTTCTTAGTCTCCATGTGCACATATAAGTTATATTTTTCATTGGATTCGTGTGCATCTATATGTTATATAAATCTATAGGTGTCTGGGGACCAATAGCAATATGATTTTGATCTTACATTGGAGTGACAATAATATTATAGACCAACACCAAATATCATCGTCTGTGTGTAGCTCATTTTTTCATTTTCATCGTTGTCAATTTTTTTTTTAATTAATTAGGGTTAGCTTCACGGATTTTGATCCATCATTCTACTTTATTAAGGCTCGTCTCTCAGGGTGAGATCATAAACCCTCTTATTTTTTTTCGCTAAATACACCAAAAAATTAAAAATATATGTATTACTAAAAAGAACCAGAATACCCGCAATTTTTAATTCTCGAGGGTTCAATTACAATTGTTGTATAGGCTCGGCAGTCCACAAAAATCTTTATAGATCAATACATATATGGGCATTTGTTTGTAGTGAGTAAATGATAAATGGAGAGAGGAGCGAGAGACTGAGAATGAATTTGGTTATGGGGTCACTTGACATGGGACCACATCCTTTAAAGTGTGATGTTATCCTACAAAGCTCATCCCAACCACTTGCTACCGCAATCACACCCTCCCCCCCTCCTCTCTCTCTCTGTATGAAGTTTGGCTTCTTTTTTTTTTTTTCTCTCTCTAGAATTTGACCTTATTTTCATTCCTTTTTTTGTTTTAGCTTTTCTTTTTCTCTCTCTCTCTTACATATCATAGATAACAAAAAGGAGAGAGAAATTATCTCTCTCCGTCTCTTAGTATCATAAATGAGTAAAAGAAGGTGAAGAGGGAGGAAGCAGCGAAACAGTAAGAATAAGAAGAGAAAATAGAGACGCAAGTATGTGATTTATGTACGGACTTTAAAATTTTAGGTAAAATACAAAAAGCTCCGTGATCCATATTTTTTTATTTTTTCCAAAATTACTACCTCGGTCAATCCGAATTTTGATATATATTTTTTTAGATTTTTTTTTGTTAGTATGGCAGTGCCCCCCAATTAAAAAATTTTCATTTGAATATACTTCATGTGAATGTACTTCATGTGAACATTCAATAACAATGGTACTCGTGATCTCAAATCAGACTGCATAATTTTCATGAGAGAGAAATATCTCAGCATTGAACCCCACCTCTCTCTCTTTGAATAAATCATGAGTACTTGTACCTAGAGTAGATCTATCTCATCTTGTCATATGGATATTACAGTGGATTATCTCTCTCTCTCTCTCTAGCAATCTCTTACTCTCTCTCTCTAGCAATCTCTTACTATAATAGAGAGAGAGACGTTTGTTTTTTTATGAAGAGGACAAAGGAGGTGACAGATAAAAACTGGCGTGCATGCAGAAGGTAGTGCATGGAAATTGTAATTTTTCCCATAAGATCCACCCTCCTTTTTGACACGCGAGAGAGAGGGACCAACAAGGGAATTTTCTGTCCATTCAGGCATACGTTGCTTCATGAGGAATATAGAAAGGGAAAAAATTTGCAGAAAGGTGAGGCCTTATATAATTTAATTAAGGCGCACTTCAAAAATTCGTTCATTCGATGTTCAAAAATCCTTATATCGACATGTATGAACAAGAGGAAAAATGGATTTCCGAAAATAGTGCATTTAATAATGTAATTTTTTTTTTACAGTTAAATATTGTAATGCATTTTTTAAATGTCAATTTTCAAGATTATCAAGTGTTTATAGATATTTTTGGTCAGACACTATTTTTTAAACTTTTAAATTTTATTGTTAGAAATAAAAATAAATTTCCATGCCATCACAAAGATTTCTATTACTAAAATAACGTCTTTCGATGCTATTTCATTACTAAAATAACATCTTGTGACACTATTTCAAGATGTACCCACTTTGATTGTTTAGTGCGTCAGCCTTATACAAACTAAGAAAAATGATCCTATATGATTTTTTCCCGTAAGACCCCAAATGATCATCATTAAAGTTGGTATGGATCTCTAAAAAAATCAAGTCCCATATCCATGTGATAACTTTTTTAGAGATCCGTATCAACTTTAATGGTGATTTTTTGGGATCTTACACGCATGAATGAAAAAGGGTCCCATAAAATCATTACTCACATCACAAACTAAACTAATAGAGCGACAACTGGGATTAACCATCGTTAATAAGAAAATAAAAGATGGATGCATCTTAAAGATGGATGTTTTACATCACAAACTTACTTGCATCTATCTTAAAGATGGATGTTTTACACCTTTTGGACCACGTAGTCATGCGGTCCAGCCGCATGAGACAATTTTCCATAAAAGAAAAGCCAAATAATGATAGGAATAATTACAAATAGTGTAAATATATGAGGGAGAGAGAGAAAGAGAGATGAGTTTTGTTAGAGGAGGGAGAAATGAGTTTGGTGGAGAGAGAGAGAGATGAGTTTGGTTGAGAAGGGAGAGAGAAAGGCGGCGGTGTGCAAAGAGAAAGGAGAGGGGGGCGCCGCTATACATTGGTGAGTGAGCCTCAGCCTCAGCCTCAGCCTCAGCCTCAGCCTCAGCCCCTTCCCTTTGTCTCTTCAAAACAATCAGACCTCTTTTTCCTTTTCGACCTCCTCCTTTTTGTTTCCTTTTTCATTATTTTTCTGAATCTAGTTTAACACTTAGTTTGAACCTCAATATACAAATGCTTAACCCTAAATCTCTACGACACGTTATGCGGTAACCTCCTTTTCTCTCTCTTTTTTATAGGAAAGTTAGAGAGAGAGAGAGAGCATTGCTTTTGCTAACGGGGGAATGCAGCAGACGTTCCCACTCTTCTCTTTCTCGTGATTGATTTGTGGTTGCTTATGTAGGGTTTAGGTTATTATATTAGAGTCCATGGAATGTAAGCAACGGGTTTTATTAGTATTAACGTGAAAGAAAACTGTTTCATGCGGTCTGGACCGTATTTCTACATTTGCTGTCTTCGAGGTATAAAGCACGGGTAGTCCATCTAAAGATAATTGAAACTGATTGTCCAAATGTTTTTTTAATAGAATCATTATTTTTATTTTTTAAATTTATTTATTTATTCATATTCATGATCTCTATATCCTTAAATATTAGGTCCCAAAAATCCATCTCAAAATAGATTTTTAAGTGGTAACTCATTTCTACATGGACTCATAGTCCGTAAGTAAACCCACTAAAATTCGATTTTACTCTTTTAATTTTTTTAACCATGACCCTAAAAGAAAGAAGAAAACATCCACAATGCCTCTTTATGCATAGGGCGAAGGCAAAGCCCGTGCAGTTGCCACCCTCCTCAACTTTATGAGATAAAAGAGGAGCTCCAAATGGAGGGCAAAAGACCCTTTCCAGAATAAATGAAAAGGGTTTTATATTCCCATGGGATCAACATCTGCATTTGCTCCCTCAGGTGCCCCAAATTGTAAGGATGCGACCTACCCAACCTAGAGTTCAATCTAAATGGAAAATAAAAAAATAAATAAATAATATGAAATAAAAAGAGAAATTGCAACCTAGGGACCAATATTGACAAAAAAAAGTAAAAAAAGGTCTGCACAAGCTCTCGCCTGAAAAAGCAAGCCCTAGAATTTTGCAGATCGTCCAATATTAGAACAGCCTGATCTTCAGTGTATAAGAAATCAAATTCTCTCCCCTTTTTTTCTTTTCTACTTCTTGTGCTCGAAGATAATCATTGAGAGTCACCTTTTACATTGACTAACCTAGGGTTCCTCATTGGTCCAACTCGTCTTTCCTTTTTTAAAGACTTTTTTTCTTTTCAAAAAGAACGTAGGTCCACCTAAGGTTATAGTGGATAGATCAATCAAATAAGGTCCGGTTTATGAGCCCTCTGGACTCATATATAGAAATGCAGCCCTCCTTAATAATCTGTTTTTAAAATAAATTTTGACCCTGATATTTAAGGAATATACAATCCCTAATATGGAGATCATCAATATGAAAAAATTAAAATAAAAAACTAAAATTGATATCTTTTTTCGTAAGGAAATATTTACGCCAATGATTTGACCTTTTTTATTGGAGAGACTGTCATCTACATCCATGTTTAGATGGATAGTTATGCCTCATGGGATGCAAATGTTGAAATATATCCCCAACGCATAAACTACTTTTAGGACACATTGAATTGTACAATAACCACTTAGCGAGAATCCATTTACATTCATAGTGAAATAAATTACAAATGGCACCATTACAATGGCAAAAACATTTAGGTGTGAGATCCTGATGCCCACCCCACATTATGCAAAAGGACGGTTCCCATTTCTTTTTTATATGAAAAATAAGTTTAAACCAGATTCTATTTTACAAAGACATGGATATGTCACATATCCTTTTGAGTTCTGAAGCATCACAAACACCAACCCCAAATTTGGATTTTAGATATAATACATCCATGCGTTATTTAGATGAGGAGGAAAGGAGGGATTTCCCGTAACACAGGCTATTTAATGGTAATATTTCAAAAAGAACGTTCAAAAAATAGATGTCTTAAGTTTTTAAAACATTGACATGTGCAAGTGTCCTTGATTTGTCGACATGCACCAAAAACTATAGACACACTTGTCCATGCTATACGGACCAGATTACACCATCAAAAGCTTTACTTTTTTCCTTAACAAGGCTATGTCCGTGCATGAACCCAAAATTTGATAAGAGACTCCACACCAGCAAGGCATGCAAATTTCCATTTGAAAAAAATACAGGCTCTAGGAAGGTATTCATGGGACCGATGAATATGAATAATGACTACCTCTTAACCTCTTGCTTTCAAATTCTTCAGGCACATTACTCATTTGCCAATTAATCATTCAGATCAGAAATGCTTGCTCATCAACCATGCATTTTTTCCGGTATGAAGTTACAAATACGAATCGTTACCTTCTCTGCATCCTCTTCGCCTGACTAATTTTGATGACTTTAAGGGCAGATTTGTCACCCCCACCACGAGGAAGCAGTTCAGGTGAAGAAAAATCAGGTCTGCAGCCTGCCTGAGTAAATGTAGGTGGTGATGGCGCTTCTATTCTGGAAGACCCGAATATGGAATTTGATGGCTGTGAATGCATTGAAGTAGGCATTTCTGAATTGGGATTCTTTGATGGGACCATCATTTTACTTGATTTGCTGGAAGGGGCAAATAGGATCGACTGAGATGGAGATGAAGAAGAAGAAGCACCACCTAAAGTAGATGAAGATCCATAAGTGAATGGTTTGCTGGTACCATGAGCTGATGACCCCCCAAAAGCAAAGGCACCACCGAAAACAGGAGTTGTCAAAGAGTTTGCTTTGCCATCTGAGCCCAGAATCAAATTATTCGACGATGTCGAGAATCCAAATAAAGGTCCTCCTCTAGTGCCCAAACAAGATATATTAGTAGTCTTTTGAGGGCCATTAACATCAGCAGTTGATGAAGAAGATGCACCGGTGATTGCAGTGGTACCATTAATAGCAAAAGGAGGCGAAGTGGCCACTGAAGCTTTAGAAGGAATTTTTGATGCAGAAATGTCAGACACCGAAGAAAAGGCACTTGTTGCCAAAGTGGAGGCAGCAGTGTTTCCTAAAATAAATGGGCAGTTTCCATCGCATCCTGTTAAGGTGTCAGAAACTACTGAAGAAACAAGAGAACAATTACTTGAATTCAAATAAGAAGGAGCCTTTGAGCCATAAGTGGAAAACAAGGGATTTGAAGTTGATGCAGAGGACATCCCCAACAAGGAAGTGGCCCCTCTTTGTGATGCAAATGTCCCACCATGCTCCTTTTCCAATACCGCATTAGGTTTTGTTTGAGCAGCAACACCTGCAGAACTGCAATAAAGCAAGAATAAAAGTATTTCTAAGAAATGTTTTCAAGGTCATGCTAGGCCTCCAAATCCAGATAATAAGTACTATCAAATGGTACCAAGAAGCTCCATAGACTGGCATGTGCGAGTTAAAAACAATGAATGAAAATCCTCCATCAAGCCAGACTAACCTGAAAGATAACAAGGGCTTGTTGGCTGATCCAAAATTGAACTTTGGAGTAGAATAATCAATAGCAGCCTTGTCGTTGGATCCAAAACAGAAAACCAGACCCTTATCATCAGACTTTGTGCAAAATTGGAACAACAATGGAGCAGTTTCTTTGTTCGCTTGAATTGATTTAGTAACTGAAAAAGTTGGCGGCAAGGTAGGCGTGGGAGGTTCCTCATAACACGCACTTCGGGCCGGTGGAATAGGAAAGGCAAATAAAGTGCCACACATTTTACTAGAATCCGCAGGCTCTTCTTCACCTCTAGTCGTGAACAAGGAACTGCTAATTCCTGGAGAACACAATTGTGGGGCCCTTTGTGCCTGCAGTTGCTCATTGCTAACACCAGTGTGATCACGGCCTTTAGTGTCTTCTTTGTTATTCTCCTTTGTCATGACCAGCTCTAACTCCGCCAATTTTTCTTTGGGAGATGGAACTTTCCTATCACAGTGCTCTAGTATTGTCCTTGCCATCCTCGACTTTGGAAGAACAAAAGCGGAAGTAGCACGACTAACCTTTCCCCTATTGTCTACAGCATGAGAACTTTTAACGCCACCTTTCAGGGATTCAAGCTGTCTACCCTCTTCGATATTTGTCAAGGAGCTTTTGGTAGCACCAAAACCCAGAGAACACATTGGATCAGGAAAGGGGCTTGCAGGAATGGACGGTCTGGATCCATCAAAGCCGGCATTAGAGATTAACTTCTGACGGGTCCTACGTATGGGTCCAAATGATCCACGTCCATCATCCAAAAGGGAACCCCTCTTTGACACCTGCATTTTCTTTTTTAATGTGTCATGAAAAAGTAAAGTCAAAATAAATATACACATTCCATTCATGAAAAACTATCACAAATTAAGTCTACGATAATCAACACCTTATGTCAAAACAAGAACATTAATCCAAGTTTAAATTCTGCTAATTTTAGTAGGGAAAGGATGGAATTTGAGAATAAAATTTAAACCAGACTCACAGCATTCAACCCCCCTTTTTTTTCTCCCAATAATACTTGATAGTGTTCAACCCAGTTCTGTAGTGCCAGCCAAAGAAATTCACAACTTCAGACAAATGCACACATCATATAATCAGTTGTCTGGATACTTGTACATGGAATTCTTGAGGCTAAGATTGTAGACTGGTAAATTACAAAATTTGTTTCCCAATGAATAATAAGTCTTTCCCTCAAGGAAACACACTAGAGAACATAGGATAAATGGCAATATCTTGCAACTTCGACCCGAGTCATTACATGTATGCCACATTTCTCTTTTTGATAGGTCATTCGATGTAGGAGATGAAAGTCATGCTTAGTTGTCACATTCTCTTTTGGAGAAGGTACTAAAGTTCCACATTCCAATTGAAGAAAATGTCATCTCATGTTAGCTGATTACAAAGATCCAAGTTTTCTTTTTTTGAAGGTTATACAAAGATCCATGTTTCCTATTAGATGCATTCATAAGTGATTTGCTATTATTATTTACCAGTAGTCTAAATTCTAAATATTTCCTATTAGATGCATTCATTAGTGATTTGCTATTATTATTTACCAGTAATCTATTATTCTAAATATTACAATCATCAGCAGCATTATCACTACCGTCATTTTTATCTCAATTATTACCACTATAATAATAAATCTACAATTATATATTATAACGACTGTTTTCGGTGTTGATGCTGCTGTTATGGTTGTTGTTGTTATTGTCTTTTCGCCTCTTGTTGCTAGTATTGTTGCTGTCATGGTTCTTGATAAATAATTGTTCATAATGGATAGGGTATTTAATTATTTATCCCAATGAACCTGAGGTTTTTGATGCATACAAGTTGAAAAAAAAAGTCCTCTTGGATCACTACAGAACATCTTCCCCAGCAAGTACATGCACCACCATCAATGGTGGCAACCAACCTGTTATTTCCATCATCTCATTCCTCATACCCAAACTAATAGACAAAAGAAAAGGAAGGGCGGGGGGGGGGGGGGGGAGGAGAGAGAGAGATTGATCAACTTGTCTGATGTCTCCCACACCAGAAGCAAAGAGTATGATATATTCAGTCAAATTTCACTGTAAGAGGCCTTAACTACATGTGTCAACATATCAGATGCCCATGAATTGTTCATTCAATTTTCAAGCATTCTAAGTTTTCATTATTAATATTTTAGCAATTATAGAACAACTGCCAAATTCAATCACCTTAATTCTGCAAGTCTCTCATCACCTGTTCTGTCTATAATACCCAGTATTTAAAATGTTTCAATTGGCAAAGACGACAAAACTTATAATCAAATGCAAGTTGCAACAATAACAAAACAATGAAATAATAAAGATCGATCACATTGTAACATAGAAGCTCATGGAAAATATTTACAATTGTGTGCTGAATGCAAATTTTGAGACTATGGTCAATGCATGAGTAACATTTGCGTACAGAACATGAAATCCCACCTGTCCACCCCCTGAAAGAGGGGTTTGTGGTTGTCTCCAATGAGATAAAGGTGCACATCTATGATTTCCATCGAGAGAACCCTGCAAATACATATGGAAATAACAATGGTTATCACAGGTATGTTCATGCAGAAATAGAGAAACTAAAAACAACAGTAAAAATATTTCACATACATTGGGAGTAGCAGTGGTGTAATCTCCTCTGGAATAGGGGGTACAAGCCATACTATGAAACTCAACTCTTCCTCTTTGAGTTGGAGGCGTAAGGTACCCATGCTGATCCCGTCCTAGAGCACCTGGCCAGCACGTAGGAGGGGACTTTGATAAAAGTGATAGACTAAGTGATCTGGGTTCAAGAGCTCCACTGTAAGGCAAATTTCTCTCATCCTTGAATATTTTAGTACAAGAAGACGAGGGTGTTGACAATTTGTTTTCCATGTATGCTTTTGCAATCTTGATAGGCGAAGCCCTTATTTCCTCAGATATCTGTTTGAAGTTTTTGCTTGTTAATACACAAATCAAGTATCCAATTTAAAAATTCAAAGCTTTGTAAAAGCATGTGCGATTCATCATCAGTCCATTAGGAGGAGGTGTAAATAGCTGGAATTCATATATACTAGCAAGTTAAGAGATGATGACAAATGCCGTGCCACAAATAAATGTCATGATGCAATAGTATAAAATAACAGAGCATGTAACATAAAATGGTGCAGTTTACTTACCTCTGGTGCAACAATATTGCTTGCCATATTTCCAACTGATTTGTTGAATAAAACTGCCTCTTTCCCTTGAACAGAAGGCCTTGATTCACTCTGTGAAAAACCATCCAATTCAAGCGTTCAAGAAAGGAAGATATAGATGCACATATCGCAAAAGGATCACAAAACGTGAAAGGGAAATGTTTCCTAGCATCCATAGCAGTCGGATCCTAATCCAAACTCAAGATGCAGATAAACATTTACTCTGTGAAGTGCCCTCACATCTCAAAGTGGGATAGGATCCAATGATTGTGGAGTCTTACTAGACAGAACCTGTAGGTTTTTCGCATTCTGAAACATGAAAGTAATGTTTCATAACATATGATGCAATGTTACTACGTACCAAATTTCCACTCATTCTGTTACATAAATCTTTCCTTTTTTCTTGCTTCGAAGTTCTTAAATCATTCTGAGGCAGAATAGGCTCACCAACTTCAAGAGAATTTTTGTTTTCCCCTCTATACCCATCATCATTTGAATGATCGATCATCCTTGAACGCAGGAGCTCTGACAAACGATTGAACTGATCCCTGTGAAATGAAAGAAAACCAGAAATCATAAACTCCTGAATTGCAAATAGTCACATAATTATATCCATGACAATTAAATTAAATATTTTCACAAGAAAAGGCAGAAACTCAGTGAGTCTGATTCGGACTCGCCCAGACTCATATGATCCAAGGCTAACTCAAGTATGTGCGAGTCTTCAAAATATCCAGCGAATATTCTTCAAAAAGTATGGTTTTCAAACGATTGGACTTGCTGAGCAGATTTGGACCAGGCCCTGCCAATATCTGTACCTATTTCTAAGTCTTAAGAGACTAAATAAAGTTGGTATGATGATGCTCACTATAAGATCAACCATGCAACTATCCGAAAGACAATCATATGAAGACATGAGGGGAAGAGCAGACCCAGAAACAGTATTTGACCTCCAGGCTTATTTACTAAACCTGCCTTTAGCTTGATAGTAGCTGCAAATTACACTCTTAAAGCATGGAAAATAGGTGCAGAAACTTGCAATTCATAAAACCCACACCCATAAGCCTGGACCTCTGCCCATTCTCCTAGATTCCAATTGCAATGGGAAAAAAAATACACCTTTTATACCTATTGAAAATCCATTTGATGAATTTCAGATCTACGTATCTGAATTGGGGTCACGCACCAACACCTTTCTTTTGCCTGGTGGTGAGATTACTATAACCCTTAAAGACGCTTCTCAAATCTGGAATCTCCTACAGCACTAGACCAATCAGCAATCCGAATCGGCTTTTCTGAAGATCCTAAGGTCTTCTACCGCAAACGGATTGAACTCGAGTGTCACTTCGGGAACAAGTTAAGCACTTGAAAGATTGACCAAACAAAAAATTATGAAATGTATGCCTTTGTTTCTTGAGGGGAATTTCTTTTCTTGCCCTTTTTAAGACTTATGAGTAACTTATTTGATTATGGAAACTACCGCCGCAATACTTGCTGATTTGTACAACAAACTGCACAATCAAACTATCATGCACATGAAACATCAGACCCAATGCATGGTGCTGCTTCAGGTAATGATTTGAACGTCACTCAGCCCTGCAATATCTCATCAGGTTTCTTTATCGCTTTACTCAAATGAAATTCTTTATTTTTGTAGGTCTGGTGCTACAAGCATCCGTCTATAAGTTAGGTCGTCCAAAGATTAAATGGATATAAAGAACTCCCCCTATTGTTGTATCTTCAAGCTTTGAAACCAGGAGTTATCTATATAGATGCTTCAAATTGCAGCAAGCTGGCGGTAGCAGATCAAGGAAAGTACGAAAGTGCATTTTAAATCAGCACTGTAGCTATTCCATCTGACGATCTGCAGCAGATTATGTCGGCTCTCAATATTAAGAGTAATCTTTCTCCAACCAGGTAAACCATTTTTTGAAAGTCAAGGTCTACTTTCTTTCATCTGCTAAATCCAGTAACTATGAGTAGTTTCTTGACTCTGGCGCTTCGAATCACATGACAGGAAATCTACTACAGTTTCCTCCTCCCAAGAATTGGATGGTAATTCTCGAGTTTATCTTGGTGATGGTTCTTATATCAGCCTGCATTGGTTCTATCAAAATTTCCAAGAAAGGACGAAAAAGCCTTACTTTTGTGCTTTAGTAGTTCCCAAACTCTCCAAGAATCAACTATCTGTATGTTGGACAATTGATTGAACAGTCTTATAATAGAGTCTTTTTTCTCGATCTTTGTGCCCTGGAGGACGCTGAATATATTTGAAATATAAAATGATCCACATAATTGTTGCCTTGCTATTACTATTTTTTCTCTTCCATGACCGTGATGCTACTCATAGGAGATAAAAGTACTAATTGAATGTTGTGGCTTGTAGAAGCCAAAGTAGGCATCAGTACATTCACGAAATTCCACAGAATGCAATTCTATTACAAGTAGAAATACAAAAAATGAAACGATTTAACATAATTAACAATATGAGAAATAAAAAGGATGAATGACAAGCTCACATCCCACAAGCTCACATCCCACACTTGCCTAGAAAATGTTTTTTGATTCAGCAGCTTCTCGAGTTTAGCAAGCCCGTTACCATCATGTCCACTGCCCAATTTATGTTCAGCATGGCCATCGCTTTTCAATATATCGCTCTGCTTCTCTCCAGCACCAACTCTTTCATCAGTAACACCAGATGAAAATTTCTACAGAGAAACAACCATGGTAAGTACAAAGTAGAATGACCTTCAAACAATAATAAGTTCACATCAATTAAGTGAATAAACTAAAGGTGCAAAATAATGCATGTAATCCACTTCACTATTCATATTTACATCGTAGCAACATGTGATATTGCACACATTGATACAAGAAAACAGCACTGCTCTTCATGGAAAGTAAATCAAACCAACAAATTCACTGGTAGAAAGCTAGTGTGGATGTCAAATTAGAAAAGCGTTGTTATTAAAAATAACGTGCAAGTTTTTCAAATATAAATGTGAAAACTTTGGAGTTTTTTTTCCCTGCCCTTCCAAAGTTGTTTGGCTGTTCAGTAAGCTTTTTCTGTATCCCTCCCAGTCAAAAACCTCCATGTTTCCATACAACATTCTCTCTAAATGAAAAACTCAACAAAAGATCCCGGAAAAAATCCCACCACCAAAACCCAAAAATCAACTGAACCAATGAAGGAACTCACTTGAAAGTTAAGACAGATAGAACCCCCATTTAAGCAAATGTTGGTTTTATGGTTTTTCTTAGTGAAACGAGAGAAAGAAAGACGAGTAAAAATTGGGGTTGCCAAAGAACCAAGGTTCAAAAAAAAGGCTAGGCTGCCGGCCAGATGCCCAGCACCCAGGCGGGCGCCTAGGCATGTACACAAAACCTAAGGCGCCTTGTAGCACAAATTCTTTATATATATACATATATGTGTTGTCCAAACACACATATATGTTATTTGTGTCAATTTCGTAATTTATTGTATTTGAAAATATTGCAACATACTTTTTTATATACAAACATATGACATATCACACGTTGAGAATAAACTTGTTCAAAATTTCGAAATTAAAACCATACAAAAGTATAAAGCGAAAAACAAAATAGTCCAAAAAGGCAAAAAGTACAACATCAAAATGTCTAAGAGTTTGAGGACTTATGAAGTGTTTTTTTAACTTTAGGGGTTTGAAAATAACTCCCATAACCTATTTAAACCTTTATGGGTCAACATCACGCCCTTTGCCCTTTTGGGCATCTTTAAAAATCGAAAAAAGGCCCACGTCCCTAGGTGCCCACCTAGGCACCTGCCCGGCCCAGCCCACCTGGGCCCGCGCCCAAGTACATTAGCCCAAAATGGGGCGCCCAGGTCTAGGCATGCAGTCAGAGGTGTCTTGGGCGCTTAGGTGCCGGGCGGACCGTTTTTTGAAACCTTGCAAAGAACCAAGCTCTCATAGAGTTGAATGTTAGAGAAAGAAACAACCTAGAAATTGAGGATTTCATTGGATGGCTTAAGAAGGAAGCTGAAGAGAGAGAAGGGCACGGCATTTTGAGATGATTTTAAAGAGAGATGTCACAGTCATTGCAGAACCAGCAGCCTGAGCTTCTCAATTGCAAAATCAGAGCTCTAAAATGGCTTATATTGAGCCCCAAGCAATATTGCTCTGAACTGCAAAAGAAAATGAGCCAAACCCCCAAATTCCTGGTTCCTGGGAGATAATAGAACCCTAAATGTTGGTTGACTGAGAAAGATCAACCCCACTGATTTCGGCCTTTTCTTTTAGAGAGAGAAGACCCAAAAGGGTCTAGTTTTCATAGAAAAACAAAACCCTGGTTTGCAGAGGCACAAGAGCCCTGGTCCTATTTTACAAAGTAAAGAAGCCCAAAAATTGAAAGGGGGTTTTTGATGGGTTTTTTTAGAATGTTTACTTTGTATTGTAAAAGGAAATTAGTACAAAATTTCAGCCCGAAGAGTTGGGAGATATATACAACCAAAAAATTAGGCTCCCCTTAAGGGAAGCCCTGTACAAAATCCTGGGGGGTCAAATAGGAGAGGTAACAGAATTCTCCACCAGAATCAAATGAGGACTGAGGCTGCAAAAAAATACTCAAGTCACTTGAGTGTTAGCACCTTCTTTGGCGAGGGAATCCGTGTGTGAATTGCATTCATGCCACACGCCTCCAAGATACTGAGAGGCCCAAACAAAGATGGGCAATTTCTTCTAAAATATGTGCCAGAGACCATGGATATGGGCAGAGCCAGAGGCCCAGCGAATTACATTACTTGAGTCGCCTTTTATAATGAGGGCTGAAGACCAACTGCAGTCGAAGAGTCTAATGCCTTTGAGTAGTGCATAGGCTTCAACCGAATGGGAATCAAAATGTCCAATAGGTTTGGAGTAGGAAGCGAGGATTGCTCCTTCGTGGTTCCTGAAAAGGCCATCCATACCGGCTGGCCCAGGGTTGCCTAGGGAGCAACCATCAAAATTAAGCTTAATGCCATCAGGATTGGTGGCTTCCACAGAGAGCGCGAGGGACCCGAGGGCAGGGTAGGTGGAGAGGGGGCAGGTGGAAGGCCGAATGGTAAATTCCCTTGAACAGCTTGTGGTTAGAGGCCCAAAAGGTAACCAGTTATTTGATCTTATAGAACAAAGCGCCAGTTGACAAGTACTGACCTCGGAATGTCCTCAGGTTGCGCTCGTTCCACACTGTCCATTAGAGCACGAAAATTGCAGCTTTCCAAATGAGCTTACAGTAAATAGAGGACACTCAAAACAGACCTGAGGGTGTCAGACACCAAATGAGCTTGTTGTCACCCCGGAAGGGGAAGAAGGTGGTTTCCAGAAGTGCTACATGATCAAGGAATTCTTGAAGTTCTGTTACTAATTGAGACCTCCTAAAGACGGCATCACACTGGGTTCGATCCTTGGGTGTCGAAGAGGTCAGCAACAGTTTCCTGCCGATTGAGGGTCAATTGGAAAGGGAAGGGAAAACATTTTTAAGGGGAGAGGATCCTAACCACAAAACTGACCAGAATTTAGTTCAAGTACCGGCTCGTGTCAAGATACGAATGTTTTGTTTGAACAAGTTAAGGAAGCTAAGGAGAATGCACAAGCACCCGAAGGTCTGCTGTTTGCTCTGGAAGAAGCCAGCCAGGAGGTGGACTGGAGACAGTACTTTTGAGCAATACCTGCTGCCATAGGTCGTTGGATTGGGTGGCGTAGCGCCGCCACCACTTGCCCAACAGGGCAGTGTTGTTTACTTTGAGCTTTCGGATGCCAAGTCTCCCGAGGTGGCAAGGCGAGCAAACGTTTTCCCAAGCTCTGAGGTAAATTATATGCTTTTCTCCATCCCCTTCCCAAAGAAAGTTCTGCATAAGGTGATTCAGACGGGTTAAGACAGTGGCCGGCATCTTGAAGAGGGACATTTGTATCGGGATGCTCGATAGGGTGGCTTTGATGAGAGTAGCTCTGCCGGCCGGGGAGAGGAAGCGACATTTCCATGCGGCAATTTTGCACTTGAATTTATCAATGATATGTGCCCAAGAACTAAGATTAAGCTTCCCAATGCACAGTGGAATACCAAGGTACATTGAGGGGAGGATATGTGTGCTGCAATCCCAACCCTCGGCAAGTGATTCTGTCGAACGGGGATCTAGCACCACTCCAATCATCTTTGATTTACAGATTAACCTTGAAGCTGGTGACCCACTCAAAACACTTTGACAAAAAGGAAGAGGGTATTTGTTTCCTAGGGAGAGGCATTACAAAACACCAGGGTGTCATCGATGTATCATAAGTGTGAAATAATGGGGCTGTGAGTTCCATTAAAGAGGCAGGAGATGAAGTGGCTGAAAACTTCAGCTACAATGGCGAAGAGGAAAGGGGAAAGGGGGTCGCCCTGGCGCAGACTCTAGAAGAGGGGAAGAATCCCCTAGGGGTTCCATTAATCATGATGGAGAAATAAGGGCTCGACATGCAGCCCATGACCCATCTCCTCCACCTCAGACCGAAACCCATACGGTGAAGAGTTTCATAAAAAACGAGCCAATCGACGTGATCATAGGCCTTTTCCCAATCGAGCTTAACAATAAGGCCCGGTATTTTGGAGAGGTGCTCGAGTGGATGCACTCGTGCACAACGAAGGCCCCATCTAGGAATTGCTGGTCCTTCATGAATGCACTTTGCTGGGGTCAGATTACCAATTCGACGACTTCTCTGAGGCGGGAGGCGAGCACCTTGGATAAAATTTTGTAGGAATTGTTTATGAGGCTTATCAGACAGAAGTTCTTAAGTTCCTCGGATCCTTCTTTCTTTGGGACCAGAGTGATGAACGGGGTATTAAGGGCAGCCTTATGCACTATCCCCCTGTTGAAGAATTCCTCAAAGAACACAAGGAACTCCAATCAAAACAAGGTCCAGAAGGTGCTGAAAATCGAGACTGGGAAGCCGCCCGAGCCAGGGGCCATATCTTGACCAAGGTTTTGGATAGCACCGAGTATATCCTCTTCAAAGAAGGGTCGCTCAAGCCATTCGGCCCTCTCAGGGGGAAGGGTCTGGATAGAAAACTCTCCCATGGTGGGTTTCGAAAAGAGCTTTTGGAAAAAGCTGAAAAGAGCTGAAAAGACTCTCCCAGGGGAAGCTGAAAAGAGCTTTTGGAAAAAACTCTCCCAGGGGAAGCTGAAAAGAGCTTTTGGAAAAATTCAAGGAGTACTGTTTTGACTTCAGCAGGGTGTTCGAAAGTGGAGTCATCCACTTTGATGTGGGTGATTGTGTTATCCCGCCTTTGCAATTTGCAATTTTGTGGAAGAATGAAGTCTTTTAATCGCCAAACTACAACCACTTGACCCTCGATCTCTGATACCAGTAGATTTCCTCTTTCTTGAGGAGAGAGTGGTACTCAAGTTTATGATGGAATCTAAGGTTCTTTCTGCCGTGAGAGGTCTAAGTTCCTCTAGCCGGTCCCAATATTGGATGGATAGTAGAATTGAGCTCTTTCAGGCTCGGACATTGTAAGGAAGGTTTTTGCTCCAGTCTTTGAGTGAAGCCTTAAGAAGTTGGAGTTTCCTCTGGAGTTGGAACCCAGCCCTACCGGAGACGACAGGGGAGAAGGAATTCCACCAAAAAGAAATGAGTTGGAGGATGTTTGATTCCTCGAGCCAAGCCAACTTAAATTGGAAGGGTTTGGGGACCCTAGGGACAGGTAGGGTGTC